CTATTTTGCTAGTACCTAATCAGTATTAGATCAAAAGACTAATGTGTTTCTGCAAGGCTTTGGGGAATAAAATTAAATATTTGTGCTACATGATAAGTAATAAATGCAAATATTTTAAAATAAGAAATGTTTGCATCCTGTTGTCAAATACACACCCACACAGAACTGAAGCTAATATAAAAACTGCCCTGAGAGTTCCACACATTTAGTAGAAATGCTTCCTTCATGCTTCCTCCTGAAGAATAAGTGCACTAACCTTGGTGTTACTTAGCATAGGTATAGAATGAGGGTACTTACAGCTTTGCATTTCAAAATAAAAGTATCAAGACTCACCCATGAAACTGCCCTTATTCAAAATACATCAACGTAGCTCAATTCTATTTCTAAAAATGTATTCCACTGAGGATGTATACACAAGATTTGTGGTAAGAAATATGATTTGCCCAAACAAAGATAATACACTACAAAACTATGCCACTGATGACTTCTAAGTGCTGTGGAGTTTTATCTGCTATCCCACATAAGTGTTTCCAAGCCATAATTAAGTACTTCGTTCCCACTGGAAGGTAAGGATGTTGTATATTAGTGTTGGGTTCCAAATCTAGGAGTTTCTTACCCCATGGTTCCCTTAAAATCACATCTTTCCTTCTGAGACTGCTCCCATCGCACCTCCCCCAAATGAAAAGTTTTGCTGTGTTGCCAGTATTTTTTTTAAAACCTCCCTCCTCCATCTCCCCACAAGACAATGGCACAGCCAGTAATTCATCATTTGAGCATCATATAAAATTTTCCTCTGTTTTATTCATGGTTGCCTGGCATTGCAACATACTGCTCCACCAAGGTGAGGGTTCAGAAGCAACCTTGAAATGATTTTTCAGGCCAGATTGTAACTTGGAATGCATTGTTTGGGGGTCTTTGGGTCTTGAACACTGCAGAAATCAGTGCAGCTGTTGGCAGTTGGAAGCAACTCACTAACTCAAACCCAACAAGCCAGCTGTAGCTCTGCTAGCCTCAAATGAGGTTGATTACTACAAACTAGAGAGCAAGACGGAGCTGTTACTTGTGTGGAACCTCTAGAATGTTGTGACTTTGAGGTTTTGGTAACATGTTTTTCCCTTATAATTAAAGTCGGGGGGGGGGGGTTCACCAAGGAAAATTGATTTTTAAGATATATTTTAATTAACTGGAAGCCTGGACTACATACAATAGAGCATCTTCTCTGAAAGTAAGCTCTTACTCTGCCTCTAGCACTGGTAGGGTAGTCAGTCAAAACAGCCCAGAACTCCTGTTCAGTTGGACCAAAAAGATAAAACTGAGACTCAGTGGTTTTAACTTCTGAATCTAGGACTATTCAAAACCTGAATGAGGGCAAGTGACTCCTCCATGGCACATTTTCAGAACTCTCCCCTCATTCTAAAAACCTTAATTTTTGAGTGGCCAATCTGAGACACCTTCAGCTTATGCCCCAAAAGCTCCCAGTGAATTTATATGCAGTTGTTGATGCTGAACTCCCTTTGAAACCCTGCTCCACAGTGCAAAAATGAACACACCTTTAATTTGTGTCAACTTGTGAAAATATTTGCCTTCATCAGTTATTTTCCCACCCAAGTTGTCACATAGATAAAGAGTGTTCCCTGCCTGGGAAAGGTAACCCAGCATTATAGAATGATGGACCAAGTGAAAAGCTGTGTGCCAATTCTTCCCATAACCTTAGATTGGCTTCTATCCTTCCCCTGTTATGCACATATAATAGCCATTATCATTTCTGAGGGGGGAGTCACACGAGAAAGCTCTATTTGTTATACATTTTCTAAATTAATAGGAAAATGTCTGTAGGATGAATACAGAATAATTTATTATTGTGCTGCTTGTTGTTGTTACGCTTTATTTTCCATTTGAATGAGGAATGTGCTCCGTTAGTTTGGGGCAATAAACCTCCCTCATAATATCCAGACTCAAGAGCTAAGGTTTATTTTCTTGGGAAACATTACAAGACTTCTTTTACTCAGACTATAGGTATCCACATATGTGCTGCCCATTTTATGGAACTGAGGTTTCTAATGTAGATAGCTACACGTTTGGCCAGATATTTGATGACTATACATTTGCAGGGGGCTTAAATTCACTCTGCCTACATTAATAGTGAGTTCAGTTGAAGCTACATCAAGGTGATCTCCCAGTACTGAAAAGTTCCGTTTCAGATCAGGTGTGAGATTCAATGTTCAAACATGAATGCCTTTTTGGAAGCACAGGTTCAAATGCAATAGATTCAATTCTCCATTTGTCCAAAGCAGATAAACCGTGTGCCATACAGACTATTTGAGAAAGGAACATCTTTCAGATAAAACCAGTCATGTTTGACCTGCATGGACATGTACCTCAGCATTTCTTATTGTAAGACAGGTGTGTTCCCTTGGCCACACTTTCCGCTCCTTCACTTTTGTGCAGCATGCTGGCTATCTTCCACAGTACAAGAAACATCTACATTTTCAAGTGGGAACATACATAAGTGGTTTGGGATGGTAAAAGGATGAAAGGTGCTATTTAAAATAGAAGCCATCATTACACAGAAAACATAGAAGCATAAAGATGAATAAACTGTTTCTCCACTAATGTTTAAAACTCTTGTAAGCAACTGAAGAAACAAAATATCGAGTATTTGATTCTCACTCTCCCTGCATACAGAACTTACCATCACAAATTTCTTCCAATATGACTGTGAACACAAACTAGGATTTCAAGGACAAAATTAACCTTGCACTAAAGTAACACCAGTATTTAAAAAACAGTCCTATAGCCATCCAAGAGTGCTTTTAATCAGACTTTTCAAGTTGGGCTACTGCACTTACAAGAGTAAAAATGATAAAATCCACTTGACTTCATGAGTTCTGTGCTTGCAAAAGTCACACGCTATAAAATTCCTGGGATGAACTGATTCCCGTAAGGTTTTCAGTTAGCAGCTTCTAATCTACAAATAATTTCCAAGAAAGCAGGCAGGGAGGCAGGACCCCTTCTGAAGAATTTCAGGTATGAGCAAGCCAGCCACCCTACAAAATATCACTGTGTATCATTTATTATCCTATAGAAACACCCATGTGGTGAAGGACTATGATAAAAATAGAATAAATCTCACTTTGCAACTGCCTTAAACTTTAGTATAAGAAACCTCCAAAGGGTACATTCCTCACCAAAACACTTAAAAACAGCTTGAAAAGAGGTGCTCACTGCCCTGTATGTTTACTCAACCACTTGTTTAAAAACACATTTAAGGAAAATGTTTTTTTTTCCACAGATTGCATTAATTATAGTTTTGCAAACACTGCAAGCTCTACGAGAAAACTGAACCAAGCTATTAGCTGCAAACCTCAGGTCTTGGCCAGAGAAGTGGTTATGGCTTATTTAGCAATCCTAATGAATTGGCTCACCCATCCCAGCACATAGCCCCATGTTTAGCATCCAGGGGTCTGGCATAGCCAAAGAGGGCTGTAGCAGCCCTCAGTGCAGCTTTATTATGCTGAAGGAAAATAAGAACAGGAATATGAGCCCAAAAATCTGTAGAGACACGCAGTAAACTTCCACTTAACAGCAAGAGCTCATCCTTCTCCTTGGGAAATGTAAATGGCTGGTCTATTTATATACATATATACATACATATATATACACACATTTACATTCATTCATTTGTGTATATAAGTATATCCACATATGTGTATACACGCACACACAGACATATATACCCACAGACACATGAACATATAGTGTACATATATGTATTCAGTATATAGATATACAGTATATATTCTGAATACATACATGTATATATATATATATATACAGTATACATACATACGTGTGTGTGTCTGTGTGTATGTGTGTATATATAGCTATATATCTATATCTCTATCTCTCTCTATATATATACACACACACACATATCTCTCTCTATATATAGGGATATATATATCCCTGTACATAAATGCGCATGCGTGCACACACACACACACTCACATACACACTGTATTTAGTACTCCCAATGTTCTTGGTGTTGTCCAACATGCACAAATGAAACAAGCCTTTGCAGAGCTTGCCATGTAAGTGGATACAGCAAGCAATTAAGGTTGAGGGGAGGGGAGAGAAGAGGGTAACTTTCTTTCCTGTCACTGTTGCTGGCCTCAGAAAACACATTTGAGCAGCTTCACTTCACCTAGCACATGCCACACAAAAGGGAAGCAATTAGCCCTGCAACAAACGCAACCTATAGGTAGCCCTGGGTGACAGCTGGACTTAAATGCTGGATTCTCTTGAGGCTCCCCGGGGCAGCCGGAATCAGTTTCCTGAGCCCTCTCTGCCACTGGCAACCTCACTATCGCCTTTCTTATTTCATTTCTCCAGATGAGGTCTCCCTGTCTGCAGCTCCTCACACAGGTGGGGCCAGTACAGATGCAGAGTGCGTTGAGCCAAGTTAGGTTAAGTCAAGTCTGCCAGATCTTTTGACAGGAAGGTCTGTCAAACGGGACGAAAAGTGTGTGTGGGAGGGTGGGGGGGGGGCACCCAAAAGCAGGGGGCCCGAGCGCGAAAAGTGGGGGTGGGAGGGTGGGGGGGGGGCACCCAAAAGCAGGGGTCCAGATCTCTGTTTCCACTCCCTCTAGGGAAATGCACAGGGGATCGGCCAGTCCTCGGCCAGATCAGACAGGGGGCAAGGTCTGGTGGCTGCAGCGAGAAGCGATGCCAGGTGCGGGCATCTCAGCAAGCCAGCATCTCCCAAGCCCGTGTGCCACCTCCACATGGACAGGACCAAGGCGGGCAGCGGATCAGGTGGATGCACGGATGGGATGGAGGGACGGATGAATGGAGGGGCGTCTCCTGCCCACACAGCCTGCAGCGTTGCCAGCCCAGGTGCCCCCAGCCTGGTGCAAACCCAGAGCCTTGCGCAGCCCTGGCACGGGCGGGGGGGGCAGCGGATGGCAAGGGCGAGGCGCGGAGGAGGGAGCCGGCCTTACCGTGAGCGCCGACAGCTTCTGAGCAGGCGCCGGCACCAGCAGCTCCGCCAGCAGCAGCAGCAGCAGCGGCACCAGCATCCTGATCCGAGGCTGGGGCGGCCGCACAGTCGCTCCTGGCAGCAGAGGAGGAGGAGACAGGAGGAATGTCCTTGGGATCTCGCTCCCCACCCTCCTCTGGCTGCTTTTCAAACCTCCCTGCTGGGAGGTCCTTTGGCTTTTTTCTTTTCTCTCCCCACCCCCTAAAGTGTGGAGCTGGGGAGGGGGCGCCCTCTCTTCCCGGCCCTGGACACTGCCCACCGGGAGGGATGCGCGCTCGCCACTTGTTGAGCTGCGGGAGATGTGCCGGGCAGGGCGCCGCCTCCGCCGCCTCTCCCCGCGCCCTCGGCCTCCCTTCCTGCTCGGCCGGCGCTCGCCGCTGCCACGGGGAAGGCAAGCCGAAGGGGCCGAGCATGGGAGCGGGGAGAAAGAGAGGGAGAGAGCAAGAAAGAAGGAAAGGAAGAGAAAGCAAGCAAGCAAGACAGGAAACAGAGAAAGAGAGAGAGAGGAGACAGAAAAAGAGAGAAAGAAAGGAAAGAAGACAGAGAGAGAGAGAGAGGACAGAAAAAGAGAGAGAAAGAAAAGCGGAAAGAAAGCAGACAGAAAAAAGAGAAAGAAAGAAGAAAGAGAGAGAAGGAACAAAAAAAAGAGAGAGAAAGAAAGTAAGCAAGAAAGGCACCCTCAAACCCTGTCCCTTTCCTCCATATCATGGATCAACCCCAGGAGTTGGGCTTGGCCCCACTGGGCACTGCCCCAGAGGGGGGTGATGTGTGAACCTCCCCAAGCTCTTCCCTTCCCTTCAAGCTTATCCACCCCCACCCTTCACTCCTCTCTTTCCCCCACTAGCCCGACCTCCCGCTTCTCCTCCCGATCTTGTGCTGATTGCTTAGCTCTCTCTGCCACTAGTTTAAACTACAGAGGGAGTAACGCAAAAGGCATCATAGCATCCACCAGATCCTTTACATACACAAAAAAAGATAGAGAGGGAGCAATGAGGTTGCGGGTAAGGAGCACAGAGAGTGTATTATTTCTGGGCAACATTCAGAACTGAGGTTTGATTACAACAGTTTCCGGGAGCACTGCCTGTTCAGAGGCGAAAGTGTGTTTGTCTGCACCCTGATGGCTTGAATGATTGCTTTTTTTTTTTTTTTTTTGCAGACTCTTTTAGGTGAATATTGGGCAGTTTCCTAAGCATTGTTCACTGAAGCCTTTCAGAGCCCATGACATATTTTCTTTTTGCTCAGTAATTTTGAGAAGTGTTGCATCCTGAGGCTGGAAAGCATGGTTTTCAATACAGCATTGCTGAAATATTTCAGCCTTGGCTTGTAAGTGTACATGGGGAGGGGGGGAGAGAGAGAGAAATCAACATATTTCTGGCTCCCTGACACAAAAGAAAAGCATTAATATCATTGAAGAACAATGAGGCAGTTGGCTGTCATTTCACTTAAAAGGCCTTTTGCCATAGAGAAGGAAAAAAGCATTTGTACAGAATGTTTCATGCACAGGGTTTTAGAAAACCTTTTTTTTCCCCGCATCAAGCTCTGTTGTGGAGGACACGTGGATTAGTGGCGTTGGTTATCAACTTGTGTTCCAAAAATGCCTTCAGATTAAACTGAAAAAGAAAGGCACAGTGTTACTTTTGCACTCCCCTTGGTTATGTTTCAGGACCCAAGTGAAGGAATGTTGTTTATTATCTCCTAATAAAACTGACAGAGGATTCCTTACTGAAGGTTGAGTAAAGGAAAAAATCCCACTCTATCTTCCTTATTAACGGAATGATCATATAGCTAACAGCTCTCCCCTGAACTCTACAGGTCTGTGACATCCTACAAATATCTCCATAGTATAGGCAGTCCGAACAGTAAGCCGTTTCTTGTTAGTAGTTGTAAAATTCAGTTAGTGCTTGGAGGTTTCACTATTCTAGGCACTGTCTATATGCATTACAGAAAACTACTCGAACAAAGCATTATTAAGGTTACTTAAGTCAAGCACTCAGAAGTTAGGAAATACCAGAATTAAGGTTGTGCAATTTTAATTCAACCCTCTTGTGCATTATTATACACCCCTTAATATGTGATCGCATACTGTTTTTCCCCACTGCCTTATTCAGTGCACAGGATGGATGATGCTTGTTTAAGGAGCAGCTGTTCAATATTTTGTTTTCTTGTCCTTGTTCCATGTATGGTCATAGACCTCATTTACTGCACACTATTTAAACCCTGAAGACAGCATTCTTTATTTCTGCAGGGGGATGTCTGTAGCATTCATCATTCTACTCGCCGAACACTTCGCAAACATTAATAAGTTGATTTTCACAACACTTGCTGAGAGATGCAGTTGAGATATTATCCCCATTGTGCAGATGGGGAACTAAGGAAAAGAGAAGTTAAAGTGAAAAATATTTAATCGCTTTGTGTGCCCCTTTGAGCCACCTGTGAGCTGATTTTTCAGGGCACTTCCAGCTAATGTAGTACTAACAAGTTCAAAGCACAAAGCTTACTGAATGTGGTTACAGCAGTGAGTGCTCTCTGCATTTTGGCAAATCAGGCCCCAGGATCTGAATTAAGCAGCAACTAACTCAGAAAAGTTTGGTTCTAAGCAACTGGGCTAGCATCACATAGGAGCTCAGTAGCAGAGGCATAGCAGGGTGTGTATGTAGTTTCCTTGGTTTTTAAAGAAGAGAAGTGGAGAACAGAAATACCATGTTGTGACATGGTATTGGCACCTACATAGTTCATTTGTATTGTGCAGTGGAGCGAAACATTCCAGCAACAGAGTAACTGAGAGCAGCAGCAGTAACACAATCCTCATGCATGTGGACTCTAGGGTAGGACATGTTGCCAGTGGGTTCCACACACACCTGCTGAGGAGGAGGAGGAGGAGGAAAATGACAAGATTGAGTGAACTAGGATCCCATTCCAGACTGGGGAGGAGTGTGCTCAAGGAGGCACCAACTCTCCTGTCCATTCCATCCAATCTTGATCACTTCTACCTTGTCTCCTACAAGCTGTTCCTGTCTCAGTCTTTTCTCTTTCCCATCAGACACCTCCTATTGTCATTCACTTCACCTACCCAGTCCCAGTTCCACTTCTAAACTTTCTAATTCAGTCCAAGTCTTCTTGCCCAACAGGTCCTAATTTCACCCTTCCAGACACCTCCTTGCCTTAGTCCCATTCTCCTTGTTTAGGTGGTTCTGGTTCCCCCTACTCTTAGTTCTTTATCTTGTTGTGCATGTTGAGACATGCCCCATCCCTCCTCTTCACAGGTCCTTTGGCATTCTTTCTCTCTTTTCTAAAACCTGAAGAAGAATGTTTTGCATTCAAAAGCTCGTGTAACTTTATCTCCACTATAGTTGGTCCAGTAAAAGATATCACCCCAAAAAATCACTGCCTCACATAATTCCTGGACTATTATAGCTACAACATCACTCTAAAGCTCTCTTTTCTAACTGAGCCTCCAATCAACACTCCCTTACCCCCAGACCCTGCCACGAGTAGGTCTATATCCCAATATCCTTTTCTGGGATCTTCATAGAGAAATAGGGCTGGAAGGAACCTCCAGAGGCCATCTAGTCCAAACCCCTGCCTGAGTTAGGATCATCCTTATGCAAACAATCCTATACAATCCATAATCTAAACTCTACATAATACTACCATCAACTCGGACACACAATAGATCCAACACTCTAACCTCCCACATGTAAGGCAGGGGAACCACAGCAACCAATGTCCTGCCTCTATGTTGTCAATATAGACCCAAGAAGTCCCAGGAAGAAGGCAAAACCCCCACACAGTCCATATCAGTTTGCCCATAGGGTAAAATTTCTTCCTGACCCCAGATATGGTGATTGGTCTGACCCTGAGCAGAGGGGCAAGAGCCTCTAGCCAGAAAGCTCTGGCTTTGCTCGTAGCAGTTGATTTGGCACACCCCAGTTGAAGTCGCCAGCCTTAGCTGTCACCAGCACCCAATGCCTCTGGGGGGACTTAAAAACTCCCTGACACAAATAGTAGAAAAAAAGGGATGGGGTGGAGTGACCAAAGAAGCCCACAGTCACGGAAAATGCCCATGCAAAAACATAGGCATAGTTATGCATAGATCATCCCCAAACAATGGCTGTTCAACCTCTTCTTGATCACCTCTAGTGATGGAGAATCCACAACTTGCCTTGGCAGTCTATTCCAGTGCCTCACTATTTTAACAGTGAAGAAATGTTTCTAGATATCCAATCTAAATTTACTTTGCTGCAGCTTCAAGTCCTTGGTTCGCATACTCCTCTCTGCAGCAAGGGAGAAAAGATGCTTTCCCCCTTCTTTATGACATCTTTTCTTCATCCAACGTGATACTCCATCCCAAGTCCTTGACACAATCTCTTTTCCCAACTGATCTCAGTTTTACCCTGTCGTGACATTTTTTTTCCAATCAATTTCTCCTCCCCTCACTTTTTTTTCTGCCCCACTGCTTCACAGTCTATCTCTCCTTATCCAGCCAGTCCCATCATCTCATTTCTATTCTGAGTCCAATCAACTCTATTTCCAATCCCAGACTCTACCTCATCCAAATTCTCAGGCCCATTTTCCCCTTGTACGTCATCAGTCTGCAGTCCCAAATTCCATCCACTATTTGCCCATTCTCCTTGTGCAAATCTGCCATCCTTACTCCCTATACCCACGTGTCTTGCTCTTGTCCCATCTTCATTCAGATCAGGCAGCTCCCTGAGCCCAACTCAGTAAGGCAAGGGTCAGAAGGAATCATTGAGAACAGAAGTGAAATAGGGCCCCTGCTCTGAGTTCAGGTACCTGCACTTATAGGAAAGGACCTACTAAGCTCCAAGTTGGATCATTCTCAGTGTGAGTGCCATCTCTGTGGAATTTAGCTGCTAAAATCTAAGAAGTCTATATTGGATATAGAGGAATTACAGTTTTTCAGGGTGTGGCAGACTCACCTACTGGAGCCCCTGCCATGTCTCAAGCTGAGAATTCTTCATTCCAATTGTTGGAGCTCAACCACCAATCAGGGAAGAGTTGGGAGGAACTGGTGCCACCCCTTCCCCAAAAGGAGGGGGTGAGGAGCTCCTGGACCTAATTGGGACCTGCAAACTGCAGGTCTGCTGGACTTCAGGAGGTGGAGCCCCCTGAGGGAATAAAAGGAGCAGCATG